AGCTTTCGTTTGAGCCTTGTCTCGTTGACAAACTCGGGTATAATAGTCTGTTGAACCATGACGATTCAGTATTTCGTGAGTACAGCGCATAAAAATGAAAAATTGGCAACGCTGTACAGCCTAAACCAGGGGTCACTTCAAGTTGAAACTTTGCATGGAAGTTTTCCTTACCATAGGCTTTCATTTGAGCACCGTCCGGTTGACCAACTCGGGTATAAAAGAAAGGGGCGAAACTTGGCGAGGCTCTTTTTGGGAAAAATCTGACCTGTAGGTATCACAGGTGCGTAACTGGAACCCGGGAAGGGTGTAAAAAAAATCCAACTTTTAGCTTTAAGGATCGGCCGCAGAACACCGCACCGCAGAATTCAGCATCCGTGAAAAATTCAATATTTAAAAATCCCTGCGCTAGGCGCTAGGACCCTTCAGCTTCTCTTCAGCTGAGAGTATCCCTCTCCCCCCCCCTCCACCACACGGTAGACCCTTCTTTTACGTCCTTTCACGGCCGTTCTTTCCCGGGCTCACGGTCGAAAAGCACTCTGGTGGTTTTGGTTTTGCCGCGAAGGAATTCCCTAGTATCACCGCGGACAAACTTCAAACTCATACTTTTTTTAAAAGAAAAAAAAAACTTGCAAACGAGAGTATTTTAATAGAAGGATGTTTTATCGTATTATGCAGGACGATTGTGACGGTTCTGAAACAAACATTTTCCAAACTTATTATGATAATACTCGTACTTTAATGACTTTAATTAAGACGTATCTAGTAGTGGAATTTTTAGTAGTACCTAGAATATTTCATTATTGTCCTGAGAAATGAAAGCAGGAATAAGTGAATTTTATCCAGATGCAGGCTGATAATCTCTGAATGAAAATGAAACGTCACCTAAGGTAATCAAAACCAACCTCTATGATCCGAACACTCAACAAGCAAGGAAAATGACAGAAAAAATACCACGAGCCTTGAAATTCCTTCACTTAGTAGGGTATGCAATTTTATCTACTTGGAAGCACGTTTTGTTGCCGCAGATGTGAACGGAAGGGATCTCGCAGTCGCTGAACAAGAGCATCTGTCGTGATTCGAGAGTGTCTATTTAATTAGACCGATGCACTGACAGAACTTTAGAGTATATTCGTATACTATTATTTAACGGTTATTCCCTTTCCGTCCCACATAATAAAAAAAATAAATAGATAAATAAATAAAGAGATAAATAATAAAAATAAAATTATAAACAAATATATCTCGACAAGGGAAAAATGAAACACATATTTGCATTTTCTTTTCGTTTATGCCGCTGCGCTTATTTATATACAGTTCTTTATAGTGGTATACAGACTCAGCATTAGTATCAGATATATTTTAAAATCTAGAAACTGTACAGAACTTTATTACGTCAAACATATTTAAAGTAAGTCATTTAAAACTTGTTGAACACTATCAACTGTTGCGAAGATTTTGCATCAAGTTACGTACTACCGAAGAGTCTACAATCATACTTCATGGACTTTCCGTTAAAAAGCTCCCTCTGATGCCGGTCAGATGAAAAACAATGTAAACACTACATTGCCTTGTATGTATGTATGAGCCGCTTTTACGGCGCGCTAGGGCGCTCTGCGACACATTGCCTTGTAAATAGTATAAATTGTCGCAAAATCTTTGCTACACTCGTTTTTACTCCAAAGATGACGCACTAAGATGGAACGGGAATATTTGAAAGATTGTCATGTATATTGTTCATTCCTGAATATATACACTCTCTGAAGGAATATTATGTGCAGAGACTCAATTTGGACTGATTGTGAATTTTACAGAGATATACCAAGTCTCATTAAGTTTTGGAGTTTTGTTCCTCCATAAAGACTCAAATTTAAGGACGAAGTTTTTACGACTACTTTTATGTTTTTCTTGAAATCGCATAAAAAAGTAACTTAAGCAAAATAGGAATTTGATGAACGACTCAACATAAACTGTCTAAGAGCACATTTGACGTCTGACAAAACGTCTTCCCTTCACCTGCCAATCATAGGGAACGCGAGGCTTGTCTGAGCAGAGGAAGGCAGGCGGAAGCTAAGATGTCACGCAGAGCTTGCGCCCTGAGGCGATCAGAGCGCATGATCCCTGCTGATGATGTATTCGAATAAAGTATCCGCCTCTTGATTGGCGAGGGAATGACCCAGGGTGAATTGCACGTAGCGCAAGATAAATGCCACCAGCTCGCCGACGCTCCACTTCCTATCTAGTATCACCCGACACACTGTATCTAACTGGAAAGAAAGGTAGAAATAAGAAAACATGTTAAAGCACTCAGAAGTTACCTGCTATCCACTGAGGAAAATTAGAGAAAACTCAGAAAGTATATTTCTGTTTTTAAAGAAAAATCTAACTGGGAAGTGGAGATGGATCGAATTTAGCAAAAAGGAACCAGCGCGGTTACAGTATTGCAAAAATGCTGCCCCTTCATAATTATCCACAAAATCTCTTAGAGTAGCAAATAAGTTTTGCTTCCCACCAAAAAATTGTTAATTTAAAGAAAAATAATTGTGTGAATTTTAATACTGTGCATATATTCAGTATTTTTGAAAGAAAAGAAGAAGTTTCACGATTTTGAAAACACCGTAATCGCGCTGGTTCCTTTTTGCTGAACGCGATCTAAATATTACTGATGCTCTTGAGACATTTTCTTAAGATCAAATTACAGCAAAAAAACTGATAAGTCATCAATGACCCAATATCCTAGGTATCAAAGCTATTCATAGGGTTGAAAGTGACAATCATATAAAGATGGCCGAACTTCGAAACCGCCTATCTCCATTTGCGACGTTGCAGACTTCCTGTCATATTTTATTTTTTACTGGAAAACTAGTCAACTTATTTGGACGTATTTCTATCAAACGGACCTAAGCGCCATAGGGTGAGGAAGGTAGAGGGGGGCTTCGATTGGCGGCGGAATCGGGCGTCCGGCTTATTCCGTCCTATACTCGCAATGCTTTTACATGGCGCTTAGGTCCGTTTGACAGATCGCGCTATCCGGGATTCTAAATACCTCAAAAGGAACTCAAATTGGCGCTAAGTTCCGTTTGATAGAAATACGTCCATTTGCACAAAAATTTCTTTGATTTTCCCTCTCCGTTGGCACTTGGCAGAACATTCTGTGAAAATTTCAATCGATAAAGTTGACTTGTCTCTCTCCGAAAAAATAAAACAGGAACAGATATGTTAAAACACCGCAATGGAGAGACGTGGTCTCACACTTTAGCCATTGCTAAGTTTATACAATTTAGTGTGATGAGTCGTTATCGTATATCGATGGCAAAAGTGCGAAAATACGTACATCCATTGTGGTGTTTCAAAATGTCCGCTCTTATTTTATTAAAAGAGACAATGAAGAATGATAGGAAGTCTGCAAAATCGCCATAGAAGTACGTGGTTTCGTACTTTGGCCATATCTTCTTTCCCACTGTAAAAGTGCGTCATTTTTTTTTTTTGGCACGGACTCTATGACCTTTTAGTGTGTTTGTTAATTGATCGTGTAACATGAAGACATGAACCATCAATTTCATGTTGTTGATAGGAAAGCGATATTTACTGATTCATGAAATACTCGTAGTACGTCAACATCCGTTTTTCAATGTGAATACTTTTAAATCTGAGAACACGCGAAACTAGCTACAAAACGGATTTATTCACTATCATTTGATAGAGATCAACTTACTTTGAGCAATTTGTAATGGCCATAAGTGCAGTAGATAAGAGTGGGTATCCCAGCGACACTTCCTGCAAGCCACTGGATGAGCAATTTCAACTGGGGATCCCCTAATTGCCGCGTGCCGCAACCCCAATTGCCCGTTACCACCGGCAATAGGTCGCATAGCCCTGCCTCCTGCTGAGCCAGCACAGACACCTAAAACAAACGTAATATCATCAGTGGAACTTCTTCACAGATGCATAATCGGGACAATATCTCCACGTTTGGAAGCGAGACTTTTCAGAAACTACGAACTTCCCTAATTTGGGAAGCTTCCAGTTGCCATCCTATCTTAGCACCTTCCATCTTGGGAATCCTTTCCTGTCAACGTAGCTGTGGTTTCAGTTGAGGATGGTGAAGGCGTCACCATTGTTTATTAACTCTAGGACTTTCCACGCGGGTTTCAAAAATGTTCTTCATTTCATTACAATCTTCCAGCTTATCATTGCTTCATTTGTGATCGGATCTGTGACAAAGGACCTTTACTTTTTTAATTAAACCGTTTTATAAAAAACTCGTTCTTCGACAAAGTTATTCAATCTTCTAGCCTGAAAGCAATTCATTATTTTGTGGGCTCGGACTTTACATCGATTACCAAAATGCGAAGCAACGTATCTCCATTGCGGTGTTTCAAAATGTCTACTCTTATCTTATTTTATCGAGGAGAAACAAGCCTACTTATTAGCTTAAAATTTTCGAAGAATATTCTACTAATAGAGGAAAAATCCAAGTAGTTAGTTTTTCTTTAAAAAAAATACGCTCACTGGATTCCAAAAAAAGTCTAACGTATGACAGGAAGTCTGCAACGTCACAACGGAGATTTGTGGTTTCGCACTTTGGCCCTTGACATGTTACATGCCTCCGACAAGTTTTGAGCTATTTCAATGAAATTCTTGCCAAGAACTGTGTACTTTCCTCTCGTATGATCACTGAAAAAAACTCCAGCCGCGGAAGCAGTACTTACGGACTGTAAAGACATACCGCCCGCGTACCGGGCTTAGAGGCTGAAAGTTCCGGGTGTAGCACCCGGAGCAATCGAAACTTCGGCCCCAAGCCCGGAATGGAATGTTTACATGGTCTGTAATTTTTCAGTGTGAGATATGAACAATGCCGTGATAGCGAAGAGAGCAGGAAGTGCAAAAATGAAGTTATGAGATTAAGGGCTCAGGAGCGTCTGACCGGAAAATTTTATTGAAAGAGGCCTTCGTTCTTTGTCAAATTGCCTCTGATCATTCGAAAGACTCCTAGAAATCGTTTGGATGATTGAAAATCGACCAATTTTGAGTGAAAATCGAATCCGGGACCTTCGGATCATAGAGCTAGCGCTACAACCACTACACCATACTGCCGTGCTAAGGAAGAACGCCGTATGAACCTTCAGGCGTTGCCAAATTTCCTTAGATAAAACGCGAATTTCCTGGTAAATTCCTGAATATTTTCCTCCCAATTTTTCAGATAATTTAGATCGCAATTT